TGAGGCGAAGTGGCGCAGTCTGCGACATATAAATGCATCACTAGTGTCTCAAAATCAATCGAGCAAGCTCACAGGTCGCCTTGGTTTCAATGCCTGTAGCCTTCGTGGCTACACCACGATGTTCAGACTATATCATCATCCCAAGCAGGGATGTCTGGTGTGTAGTCGTTGAGGGGCGCAACGCATGTATCGACACATGACTTCCCTGTTGATTGTCCGCACCGACACATTTGTCATTTGGTCGGATACTCGGCGATACTCGACGGAGTTCCCAGCATATATCCAGCTTCGCGCCTACAGTACCCCAAGATGATGAGGTGCCAAACGACTCCATCGATATGAGCTCTTGGGAGTCGTCAACCTGTTATCCCCGACGTACCTTTGTTCCGTTGAGCGAGAGCCCTTCCATAAGGGGCCCCCGGATCACTATGGCCGACTTTTGTCTGTTCGACTTGTAGGTCTCACAATCAGGCAAGATAAACAGAAAAGACAAGAGTTCAAATTGACAGCAAGTAACATTAACTCAATTGACGTTAACATAATAAGGATATTCTTGTCTATTTAAAAAAATTCCCCAAATACCTAAAAGAAAAAGAATCATTGAAAATGTTAAATATTTCACTAAATCCATAATCCGATATTTGTATTTATCCCCATTATCCCCGATAATCGGAATCGTAATTAGTACAAGTAAGCTTTTCTTCTTCTTCTTGTTCTTCGTCATCTTCTTCTTCATCTGTGCAGTTCAATGATGAGATCTCAAGGCAACTGTGCTTTTTTCAAAAACAAACAAAAGAGGAGGAGAGCATTGAAGGAAGATAACATTAAAAAAAAAAAAAAAAAAAAAAAAAAAAAGATAATATTCCGGAATAATACTTTTTTTTGCTGGAAACCGTGAATCACTGCAGAGCTCTCCCGACTTACAAGAACAGAAGATCAAGAGGCTATAAAGAGATCATCGTCCACCTCACATATATCGTTCTGAATTAACTCATCCTTGTCCTTATTTTCAGGGCTGCAAGCCGTTGATGCAACTGACATGGCGGCCTCGTCCTTTTTTTTTTTCCCCTTCTTTTTTCTACGTAAAGGACGACAGCCTTGAGATATCGCCGTTGAACTGACTGCCCCCAGGTAATTGAGAATTATTTAATGTCCTTCATCTGGATTCGAACTTGGGTCTGTATTTCAACAGTTCATGGGTGTGTACCAACTGAGCTAAGCTCATTGGTACAGTCACGTCTTCATCGTGCACAGGATGCACAATCCTTCTCATCCTCAGCATCACCAACTGTTCAATCTTCTTCTTCTTCTTCTTCTTCTTCTTCTTCTTCAACGCCTTCTTCTTCTTCTTTCTTCTTCTTTTTCTTTTTCTTCTTCTTCTTCTTCTTCTTCTTCTTCGCCTTCTTCTTCTTCGCCTTCGTCTTCTTCGCCTTCTTCTTCTTCTTTGCCTTCTTCTTCTTCGCCTTCTTCTTCGCCTTCTTCTTATTCACCTTCTTCTTCTTCACCTTCTTCTTCTTCGGACAGCGCGTTGGACTTCGGATCCAAAGGCCGTGGGTTCGATCCCCATCGTGGTCGTGGGTGAGGGTTGTTTGTCTCTGCCACTCCTCTCGAGAGGTGGGTTGAGCTCTGTGGACCGCGTAGCGCAGTGGACAGCGCGTTGGACTTCGGATCCAAAGG